GTGAGAGAGAGGGAGGCTAATCGAGACCGTTTCAGCTGGCTTCTTTTAGTTCAAACAACTTTATCCAGTTAGAGAGAGAGAGAGAGAGAGCTTCTGGGGCCTTTAGACGACTGGATTTAACAAACAGAAAGATTTAACAATCTGACCGTTAGAGAAGTGTCTTTGCCTCCATGTAACACGCAGCAGCTCGTGCTTTTCGCTTTATTATGTGCTCCAGACATGAGATGTGATCTTTTTTTTGACTCATCATGAGGAAAAAGCCCAGTTCCAGTGACTGCTGAACTAATGTGACCTCTTGAAAACGGCTGATGGCTCAAAGTCAATAATGTGTCAGGGCTTGTGCAAACATCTGGACTCATCTGGCTGGAAATAAAAAGGCCCAATATTGAAGTCAAATCCAGTTTAATTTGGGCAACATCTGGTCCCCCACGTGATCGGTGACAACCTGAACCTGTGTTCAGTTTAGGACTCCTGTGGACACTTTATCTGGGGCGGACGTTTTGTGCTGAGGCTTGTTACTTTTAAACCAAACCCGACACCACCGTGCTGGATTTGAACTCCTCTCTGCTCCGAGAGGGACTGAGGGTCCTTTTTCTGTGTTTTCGGTATCAAGCCTCCCTGATTCAGTAGGTCCAGTCAACGAGTGACGGTTGGAGAAAAGAAACATCAAACACATTACAGCAGCGATCCCACACCAAACTAGAGAGGCTGATGACAGCTGGTAGAGGCAGGAGAGGGCCAGGAGATCCATTTGAAGGGGGGGGGGTGGTATCTTGACAGTGTGCCTTTGCTTGAATAAGAGGGGGGCGGGTTAAAATGCCGTCTCATTGTAACTTGCTCAGAGAGGCATTACAGGCACCGCACACAAACACAGTCTCTCTCTGTGCTTCTGGAGCTGAGGAGGACACAACAGAGACAAAACGTTTTTATAACTCCAAGAGAAATCGAGACTGTAGGAAGCCAAGGACGGATATCCAACCCCGCCCACATCCAAGTCGGCCATTTTTATTAGGTCAACAATAGGAAGATCCCAGGCAAGAAAATCCTAATTGCTTCATGGCAATATAGACATTAATTTAAAAATAGTGAAATTAATCTCTCAAACACTGAATTAAACTCTATACATAATATTATGATAAAATAGTGGATGTTAAATAGGTTTGTGCAATAAGTCCAAACAAATATAACCAAAAAATATTTATTTCTCACAATTATGAAGGGTGGAGGGTTAGGGTTAGGGTTAGGGTTAGGGTCAGGGTCAAGTTTAGGGTAATGGTTAGGTTTAGGGTTAGGGTCAGGGTTAGGGTTAGGGTCAGGGTCAGGATTAGGGTTAGGGTTAGGGTTAGGGTCAGGGGTTAGGTTTAGGACATCGTTTGTCTTCCGATTTCGTATAGACAATAAAGTTTTGTTTCCACCTCAGAAAGCTGCTAGTCACATGACCTAATCAAAATGGCCGACTTGGATGTGGGAGGAGTTGGATATAAACCCAGGCTCCTACAGGCTGCAGCCAGAGGCCTGACCGGTTCTCCTACCTGTGGCCCCCATACAGGAGCGCAGCACTTTAAAGGAGCAGCATCGGGAGCAGAAGCTGTTGCCGCAGTTACTGCAGTTTCTCTGCAACACGAAGAGAAACCCGTCTAAGCCCGGGTCCGAGAGCAAACCCCACCCCCCCAAAAGAAAACCCCATTTCAAAATGGCGTGCTCCCAGACTCACCCTCTTCTTCAGCACGGAGAAGACGGCGCTGCAGCTGGAGCAGCTTCCTGTGGGCAGAGAGGGAGGTTTTTTTATTTTTACGCTCAGTTCTGGACATGATCTTAAAGGAGACATATTATACCCTATTTCAACAAGTTGAACTAGTTCCCTGGTGTCCTAATGTAATGTCTGTGACAAGCTTTGGTCAAAATCCCATAAGGATGAAGCCCAATAGCAGTTCAGTCCCCCTGCCTAACCCTAACCCTAACCCTAACCCTAACCCTAACCCAAAACAGCCCCGTTCAGAGCGCTCGCTTTGGAGTGCCTGTCTCTTTAAATGCAAATGAGACACAGGCAATCCACCCACTTCTTCAGGGAGGTGTGCCCACGTCGGCACGCCAACGCTACCATGCTAACGCTACCATGCTAACACTACCATGCTAACG